CTCCCACCTGTTGGAGCGCATTTTGGCTGGAAGCAGTAGGTGGCTTCTCAGATGTGCAGTTCATCTTGAGTGGGCTGCAGTGTGAAAAATGCAGCCCTTGGAATACATCAGGAGAGGAGTTTCCATATGAGACAATGAAGTGTTAAGAGTTGCTCTGCAGGTCATTGTGTTCAAGGGTGGATTTGAATGGATTGAATGAGGAACTTCTCCCATGAGAAGTGATTGTGAAAGCACTTTAATCTGCTTAGCTGAGCAAAAGAGAAAATAGGGTTGTCTGTAGAAAGACACTGATAAGGTTGAACATAAGGGAGGAGTGAAGAGTTGTGGAACAACTGGGAAATTGAAAGGAAGCTTCCAGTGACCAGGGTGAGGGTCTAGAGCAGACTTGTAGTATAGCAGGGATGGAAAAGAAATTGTTACACAAATTCGAATTCATTCATGTTAGTGGTTATATGAGATGGTGCCTATTACAGCAAAGGATTAGATCTCCTGGTTCAGACAACTTCCTAACATGCCATTTTTCTGTTTTCCATTTGACTCACTAATTTGGAAAAACAAATGCACATGTACTTCAGTTGGTTGAAAAGTATTCATTCTTAGGATCCTGTAGACTTTCAGGTATTTGTATGAGGGTATTTGAAGGAAGTTGTAATGTGTCTTCATCTAAGTAATTAGAATTAAAATGGTTTTGCATGTGGATCCTAACTTGAAGGCATAAGTTGTGGGCCTACAAGAGTGCTGGAGAGGGTCTCTTCTTCAGGGACTGTAGCAATAGGACAAGGGGTAATGGGTTGAAACTTAAACAGGGGAAGTTCAGGTTAGATATAAGGAAGAAGTTCTTTACTGTGAGGGTGGTGAGGCACTGGCACAGGTTGCCCAAAGAAGTGGTAAATGCTCCATCCCTGGCAGTGTTCAAGGCCAGGTTGGATGGAGTCTTGGGTGACATGGTCTAGTGTGAGGCGTGCCTGCCCGTGGCAGGGGGGTTGGAACTAGATGATCTTAAGGTCCTTTCCAGCCCAAACCATTCTGCGGTTAAATACCAAATCCTCCCATTTTGAGAATATGCTTCCAGAGGAGTGAATTCCTCCTGACAATTACAGTTCAGGTACCATACGCACATGTAAATCCCTGTGCTGTATGTGTAATATGTATGAATGTGTAATGGAGAATGATATGGATGGCTTGAATCAGCATTTTCAGCACCGATCTCCCAGTTTCCATAAGCATCTGCCAGGAAGTGTTTGTGAGTCACCTACTAACACAAACCCAATCTAGCTCACGGGTAGGTAGACACGGCAGGGACTGTCACAGGAGATCCCGGTCCCTCTGTGCCAGGCCTCCCTGACCTGCATTTTTGGAGGCCATTCAAGCATCCCTTTCTGCAGTAGTACGGCAGGAGAAAGGCAGTTCCCCAAATAGCTCTGCTGGGAACCAGGCACGTTTTCACATGTTCAAGCTGATGCTTTGTATTCTGTCTGGGTGCTGCTGCAGGTTTTTATGGCAGAGAGATGTGAAACCTGGGCCACAGATCAGGTTTCCCAGTGGTCCATGTGCAGCTTTAGGAGTCCATTGCAGGGAATAGTCTTCATGTGCAGCTCTCAACAGCCTGAAAATACGAAGATAGGTTTTAGCTGTGTGTCTCCTACAGCAGTGACGTAGCTGCTCATCAAATTATCTGTCACTGGCATTAAGTGTTGTCAGACCTTTACAGGCTTCTCAGAAAATATTATATGAATTTTAAAGTTTATTCTTATCCCAGCTGGATTAGTTAAATATTCTTTAAAAAAAAAAAAAAAACCAACAACCCAAAAGCTTAAAAGTTACGACTTTCCTCAGAAAGATTGTGTGAGAGTGGTATTTTATAATTACCTTGCTGTTATTCGCATGTATATTAAGACAAGCATTTGAGAGTTTGGCTTGGCCAAAAAAAAAAGTATTTATTTCCCTTAATTGCTGTTCATAATCTATTTAGCTGTCTCCGTAAAACAAGTAAACAAAAATCTGTTACCATTAGGGTGTAAGGATGAAATCTCAGGTGGCTCATCGAACTAAGGAATAATATGATCACGCTGCTGCTGTTGTCTCGAGAAAAATTGTTGAACAACTTTGTAGTAGGTTTCCCATTTACACAGTGTAGTTAATTGCTCCTCCTTCCTCTGGCTGTTGTACAGCTTGATTCATTAGTAGCTTTGTGAAGTTGTGAGTCCTTCAGAAACAAACACTGTGTGGATACTACGCTCTGTGCATGCAGAATAGCACAAGTGAGCAGAGAAATTGCTTGAGACAGCACCAGCTGCTGCAGGGCCCAGCTGCAGAGCTGCTGTGCCTGGCATGTGGGTGAGCCTCAGCATGAGCACAGGGAAAGAAGGGGAAAAATAAAGGAAGAACACTCAGAAAAATGCAGATGGGAGAGCTGGAGTGTTGGTAAGTAATCAGAATGCTGTGCAGTACACACCTTAACAACTGAAATAATACATGCAGCTGTTTGAAAAAGACATGTCAGGAAGATTTGATTGCTACGGGCAGCATTGCCAAGCTGTATGTAAAGTGTAATAGTGGTTAGCTGGAGGACTCATTCAGGATTGACATAGCATTTTGGGTGAACATGTGTCACCTTCAAACTGCAAGACAAGCATGGAACTGATGATGACTGAATTTGCAAGCCAGTCATCTGGCAGCTCAAATGTTCCACTGTTTGCTTTCAAAGTCGCATACCTTACTGTTGATTTCTTTCCCACTAGGTTTTAGAAGAGAATGGAGAACAAGTGCCCTGTTACTCTGTCATGGTGAGTTTACAAGATGCTGGTGGAGCTGAAACTAAGAACTGGACTGTTCCCAGGAAGCTCAGCGAGTTTCAGAACATACACCGGAAACTCAGTGAGGTATGAATCTTGGTTAGGGGATGGAGAAGATGCAGGTTGCTAAAATTTGTCAGAATGATGCTTGGAGAGGGGAAAACCAGATAAAAAATTCATACTGCCAGTTTTTATGCCAGCCTTTAGGCTTTTAGAGCTTGTTTTCTGTGCATATTTCTGGCCTCTGCCAGATGCTTATAAAACTTGATTTTTAATTTTTTTTTCTTAATAACAAATGTTTTACTGAGCTAACCCAATGTCAAAACAGTATATGCTCTGAGATGTCATACACGAGCCTCTTTTAAAACTAGATTTTGTCTCTGGCTTCCAGGGTGGTATTAGAAATGACAGCTTTTGGGGACAAGGCTTCCTTTTACAGTGCTTTAACCTTTCTGTCTGATAAGGTATAGATAATGGTGATGTTGTGAAGGGAAGGGGTGTCAGCCCATAATGGATAAGGAAAGGTATTTTTCTTGTTAAGTGAGCTCTCATTTCTCCTCTACAGTGTTTTCCATCATTAAAGAAAGTTCAGTTGCCTTCCCTTAGCAAGCTGCCCTTCAAATCCATAGACCAGAAATTCATGGAGAAATCCAAGAACCAGCTTAACAATTTTCTGCAGGTAAGAAAACAATGACAAAACCAACAGATACCTAAGCAGGAGAGTTGGCTGGATGTTATCTCTCTATTGCCTAAAGAGAGAGCCTAGAAGAAATAGGTTAGATACAAGGTTTGACGCTATATATGTTGAAGTTGTCCAAAATGCCTGAATCTGAGATGAGTTTGGCTGATAGTAATCATTCCTCTAGTGGTAAGTTAATTTAAACTTTGATTAATTAAGAAATAGTAGATAATGAATCCTGTAAAGCACTTCATAACAAATTCCTTACAAATCAGAACTTTATTTAAAAAGAAAGTTTTAAGAAAAAACCTTTAATCTTACTAGTTTTAATACTTTAAAACTAGCTTCTTAAAGTACCTTTGTGAGACATTATTTATTTTTTTTCCTCACTCTGTCTCTGAGCCATGTCTTAATCAGTTTTATTGGATGGCCTGGCACAATTTCTTCCTTAACACACCAATTAAATATTTCTTCTTTCTGTCATTATTTTTCTTCCACAGAAATTGCTCTCTGATGAAAGACTCTGCCAGAGTGAAGCACTTTACGCCTTCCTGAGTCCTTCCCCAGAGCACCTCAAAGTTATTGATGTGCAAGGAAAGAAGTCGTCTTTTTCACTCTCCTCATTTCTAGAACGTCTTCCTGGTGATTTGTTTTCTCATCAGGAGGTAAGTGGTAGAAAAGCAATCTTCCCAAATTTAATTACTTATCCAAAGCAAGCAGAGAGAGCCATTAATATAATGCATTTGAATGGCAGGTAATCTTGGAAGGCATTTCCAAAGGTCATTTTTAATTTACTGTAAGTGAACAAAGAGTCAGAAATAAGAGCTGTCCATGAATTTTAAAGGTGTTTATTAATGAAATATGTTTCCTGCCCTTTGATAAAAATACATATGTAGGCAAATGTGTAACTTGTCACAAATAAACAAATTTCAGACCATGTGGGATTCTTTATTTTATTTATAGCAGAATTTCCCGCTTTTTGTGCTCTTGACACGAGTATTTCAGAGAGTTTTTGACAGGTAAAAACCTCCTGGGAAGCTTCTCTTGGCAGGGAACAGTTGTGTGTCCTGAATTTCTGGAGAGCTGAAGCAAAGCTAGTTGTGACAAAAAATGAAGGTGAATGGTGCAGGCTAACAGAGGGAATTTGCCAATATAGGCGGGAGCCCATGTGGGCAAACCACTTTGAGAATTTGATACTAAGCCATAATAAACTATTGTCTTTCAAAACACAATGAAGAATAGATTAGTGACTAAAATAGCTCATTGGCTAAAACTGCCCATAATTTCATGGTTGTCTATGGTTCATGTAATGGATAGAAAATGCACTGTGTTATAAGAATTTACACTTCTTGTTGCATTTTCTAAATGGGGGATTCGCTGAACAGCAGAAAGATAGAGCAGGGACCTTGGAGAGAACATTGGGTTTACCCTCCTGCTCCAAGCAGACTCAGCTGTACTAGGAAGATTCTTGGCATGTATTTGTCTAACGTGTTGGTAAACCTTTGATAATTGATGTTCTCTAGATGAGCAAGGCAGCGTATCCTGATACTCAGCTGTCTTCGTGGTTAGAAACCTTTTATTACTTCCTAACATAAATCTCCATTCTTAGCCAGCCAGCTCTTGTCCTGTCTGCAGCAAACGCCCAACAGTTTGGGTTGGGATCATCTCAGTTATCAGGATTTACTACTTTCCTTTTGCCTTTTATGCTTTTGTTTCTGTGACTGAGCAGCCCCAATTTCTCCTACTTTTGTTAGGTTATGTTTTATTTAGTTCTTATGGTCCTGCTCTAGACTTACATGGTTATTCATGTTTTTCTTAGAAATGTGGTGACTAAAGTTCGAAACACAATGTTCCGACTAGGTTTTCCTATTCCCATGTATGAAAATATTTTTCTATCTGTATGCGTATACATACAAACCAACGTTTGTGCTTAAACATTGTGGTATTCCACTTGCCTTTTCCACAGCAGTATGGCCCCATGATCTTTTCCTGTAGTAGTAGTATCAATATCAATTGTTTCATTTCCTGCATTTACACAGTGAGTTATTGGCGCTTCACATCTGTCTTTATCAAACTGCACCCTCTGGGCTCAACCACAAACTCAGTAAGCTTATTTTTTGCCCAAGTGCTTAATGAAAATATAGAATTAGGTCTACTATGAAAAATTAAATAAAACATAATTTCTTGGATAATTAAAATAAAAAAGAGCCCAGAAGCCTGTTGACCAGAGGAAGATAGTGAGCAGGACTGGAGTTTGCTCTAGACTGTGTCCCTGGGGAAAATCTGTTCATCATCAGTGAACACATGTGATTGTGTGGTAAGATGGGTAATGATTTGTGATTTCCTTGTGTGGCATTTCTTGTCAGTATGGTGTTGGAATATGCAGCACTGTGGAGTTAGTTATATATAGGCCACTGTGCAGTGCCATGCCTGGAGAAGATTCAGGGGCTAGAAATATACTCAAAGTCAGTGATGGGCTTTAGATGGGATTTGGAGGGTGTGAGGAAAGAGTAAGACAAACTGATGACCAGCTGAGATGCTGTAGGATACTCTCTGTATAGGACAGTTCAAATGACAGGCAAGGGATAGCTGGCCATAAGGCCAAGAAAGACATAAAAATAATGCAGGACAAATAGAGCCATGAAGTAGGTTTTCCTGCTGATCAGTAATACTAGATAATGGAATGATAAGGAAGAAAGGAAGGCAAAGGAAGAGGTGATGGATTTCTTTGAAAAGATGGATTTCTTTGAAAGAAAATCTGCATGCCATTCTGACTATTCCAGGTACATAACACCAGCCTCAGTGGGGGCAGGTCTGCCTCACGGCAGCTTTGCTCTAAGCATAGGCAGGCAAGGGAAGATCCAGGAAAGCAAAGGGATGTGCTGGCTGTCATGGGTAATGAATGGTAGGTGGTGTAGTCCTGATGCTGAAGCTGATCTTCATGACACTGGGAAACAACCTGCTGTCTGCTCTTCATTCTTGAATAAATGGTTCTGCCCAAACTGAGGTGGTTCAATATGCTCTCCTGTGAGTCTGTTCTGAATAACTCTGGTCCATTTGGTACGCTGAGCCTGGGTGTCCTCAGTGATACCTGACGTTCCTGTTTGCCACATCCTGCCAGCAGCAGAGATGTTGGCTCTAATGCTCTTTCTTGAGAGGGCTGGCAGTGCTCCCAGAGCAAGGCAATAATACTCTGCTCTCATGATACCTCACTTGGAGTACTGTGTACAGTTCTGGTGTCCTCAACATAAGAAGGACATGGAGCTGTTGGAGCAAGTCCATAGGAGGGCCACGAGGATGATGGCTTTAAACTTAAACAGGGGAAGTTTAGATTAGATATAAGGAAGAGGTTCTTTATTGTGAGGGTGGTGAGGCACTGGCACAGGTTGCCCAAAGAAGTGGTAAATGCTCCATCCCTGGCAGTGTTCAAGGCCAGGTTGGACAGAGCCTTGGGTGGCATGGTCTAGTGTGAGGCATCCCTGCCCATGGCAGGAGGGTTGGAACTAGATGATCTTAAGGTCCTTTCCAACCCAAACCATTCTATGATTCTGTAATGATGGGGAGCTGTGGTGCCTACCCATATTGTGTCTCTCTTCCTAGGAAGAAACAGAAGAGGATAGTGACCTGTCCGACTACGGAGAGGAGGTGGATGGGAAAAGAGACTCTCTTGCTGAACCGTG